TGTGCCTGGGAAGGCAAAAGATGGCCCAAGTACTTGAAGCCCTGCTGTCCAGGTGGGAGACCTGAATGGGGAGTGAATCAGTGGATGGAAGATCTCTATCTCTTCTTCTCTGTCACTCTGCCATTCAAGTAAATGTATCTTAAAAAAAATAACCACTGTTGTGGGTGTGAAGTGGTACCTCATTATAGTTTAGCAGAGAGCTGGATTGGAAGTGGAGCAGGCGGGACGCGAACTGGCGCCCACATGGAATGCCGGCACTCCGCCAGAGCTGAGCTGATCCGAAGCCAGTAGGTTCATTCAGGTCTCTCATGTGCCTTGGGCCATCTTCTGCTTTCTCAGGCACATTATCAGGGAGCTGGATCGAAGTGGAGCAGCCAGGACTTGAACTGGCACCATAAGAGATGCCGACGCTGCAGGTGGTGGCTTTACCAACTACACCACAGCACTGGCCAGTTTTTTCTCTTTTAGCCTTTCTTTGCTCATATTTTGACATTGAGCTTATTTAAGCCACTTTATTGAGATATTACCAACATACACAACACTACAGGTATGTTTATAGCTTGGCTTTATAAGAGACCATATTACTTTCATGATCTGTAAAATGAGAGGACTTTCAGAGGGGAGAATCTCTTACGCAGCGTAGCACTTGGTTCAGCCTGCAGTCTTCCCACCCTGCCTACTCGGGAAGCATCTGCGGGCTCACTGAAGGGCGGAGTGAAACCAGAAGGTGTGCCTCAGGCTGGGACTGCACAGAGCGCTTTAACACCCCCCTCCCCAACACACACGGTGTGACAGTCACTCCTGTGGCTTCTGCTGTTAATCGGCTCTCAGACCTGGCACTCATAACTTGGGTTACTTTTCAGATCTTTTCTTGTTTGGCAATAAGTGACAAGACACAGCCGTCCCGGAACCATGCTTTAGGTTTAATTACAGCTTCTTCCTCAGTCTGCGTGGCCTTTCTAATGTTTTCTTCTTCTCTCTCTTGACCTCCCCAGACCGCGTGACGGTTCTCTACCGCAGCAAAGCCGTGAGCTATACCTGGCCGTGTCCGTTTCTCATGGCAGACTCCAGCCCTTGGGTCCAGATTACCCTAGGTGATGGCAGCACCCTCCAGACCAAATTGTTGGTAGTTGAAGATTCTTATTTTGCCAGGGGTCATGCATGGCTACTTCTTATCCTGGATTTTAGGGCCTCTAGTTTTAGATTTAAGCTATAGTTTAATTTCATTTTTGGCATGATCTTGGTTATATGATTAGTACCCACTCAGCCTAAGTTAAGAAGGTCTTGTAAATCTTAGGACCATCTGTGGTCATGAAATAAAGGACAGCAGGCCTCACAGGGACAAGAACCAGGGATGGAGACTCCTCTGGCCGTCTCCGGCCCCCTGTGGTCATCTGTTGCTCTCTCAGCTCCTCCTCTTACAAGGCATCCGCTCCTGGCCTTACACCAGGACTGTTCAGCTCCAGGGCTGCCCCACACTGAAACTTTCCATACTGTTCTCAATATTTAAACTAGAGAGAATCTGGCTAATGAGCTTGGAGCTGGTACCTGTTGGGTCAGATGACCGGCTTTAGCTCTGTTAGCCAGGGCTGAGGTCACATAGTCTAAGGCCAGCCCTCTAGGGCCTCTATGCAGATGGGCTTGCCATCAGTCTGCAGTAGACCGCTGTAGGCAGCAGAGAAAACGTGGGGAGCCGTTTAGGAAGAGGCTGTAGGACTCAGCAGGCGCTTGTCTCCGTGCAGATCGGTGCTGATGGTCACAACTCGGGAGTTCGGCAGGCTGCAGGAATCCCGAACGTTAGCTGGAACTATGACCAGTCCGCGGTAGTGGCCACTTTGCATTTATCTGAGGTGAGATCCTGGGCCGCCAGCTGGGGGCCCACCCATGGGCACTAGGCACTTCTCACAAGAACTCCTCTGTTGCAGGCCACGGAAAACAACGTAGCGTGGCAGAGATTTCTTCCCTCTGGGCCCATTGCTCTGCTTCCGGTAAGAGGTCCTCCTGGCTCGTGCCTTCCTCCTTTAGGCCTCTGGTTTCACGGGGACATGCCCAGGCTGGCACTGCTTCCCCTCGTCTCTCTGTGCTTGAGAGCTCCCAAGTACGGAAGTTCAGCCTTGGCATTGATCTTTTGACGCAGCTCTCGGACACCTTGAGTTCCTTGGTTTGGTCCACGTCCCACGAACATGCAGCAGAGCTGGTCCGCATGGATGAGGAACAGTTCGTGGATGCCGTTAACTCTGCCTTTGTGAGTGTTGACTTGTCCCTCTGCCAGTGCATTGCAGGGGCAGATAAAGGTGGCTTTGAATAAGGAAAGAGAGCTAAGCCATCGGCTCCCCTTTGTAACTAGCTGGATCTGGATCCTGTGGAGGGTGCAGCGGGAAACGAAACACCGGCAGTGCTAACAGACACACTCTTTAGAGGGTTGTGGCTGCTCTTAGGCCGAATGAAACAACTGCCCGGCTTCTGATTAGCATCGACCTTGGAAGCTATAATCCATTCTAAGTGTGAACAGCTCCACGAGGTCCCAGGTAGCTGGGCCTTGAAACCTGACTCACTGAGGTGTTCCCAGGGAGGGGCTGGGTGCATTGCAGCCCAGAGCTTGAGTGAGCTTGGAACCAGGCCTGAGTTCCTTACTGGTTCCTCCTGTAATCTGAAAAATGGGGCATGGAACTGCCTACCTCTTCAGGATTGAAGATTTATAGAATGAGAATTTTTGCAAAATGCCAAGATATTCATTGGGTATGTTGGAGGTGCTCAACCAGCAGCAATAATTTTGCTGGAGTAGACACAGCCTTTAGATAAGACGGGCACCACTATTTTTGGAATGTAAATGCCACATTGGGCTACATTCACTAACAGAGTGCTTGCCACGTGCCAGGTCCAGGACAGTTTTCTATTTAATTAATTCAGTAATGCTTTGAGGTAGATGCTATTAATGTCCTTGTTTAGAGATTAGGAACTTGCCTGTGTTCCAAGAGCTAGAGACAAACTTGGATTCTGAACTCCACCTGGCCCTCAGAGCCTGTGTTTTGAAGCACGAAGCCTTATGTCCTCACTACATTCTTCACAGTGAGGAATGTTCACTATGTAGTAGCGATGACAGTAAAAGGAAGTGGATGCCAAGGTCAGCGGAGCGTGCTGTCTGTCCCTCCCTGGTCACTCAGGTACACTTTTTGACACAGGCAGCCCCTCTGTAGCATTCAGCAGTTCCCAGTGCCTTTTCTGTAGATGCAGGACGAGTGAGACAGCCCCCTTTCGGGAAACTTGCAGCCAAGGGAGAGGAAGGTATGTGAGTGACACTCAGTGCAGCGGTAGAAGCCTGCTTGGGGTGCTGGGGATCACAGGGAAGGAAGACGGGTAGAGGAGGGCTCCTGGGCGGTCCTGAGAGGTGACATGGGGAGGGGACGAGGCAGGATGTCTTGAGGCACGCTGTGGCCAGCTCGTGAGCAGCTGGGCTCGATCTACAACCTGTGGGCAGTGATGGGAAGTCGAATTTTACCCTTGCTGGAGGGCTTGTCACTGTGGTCATGATCTGTTCAGGTATATTAGGTAGCCTTACTCTTAGCTGTGGTCTCATAAAAGCTTTCTTTGTTGAGTTTTTAATTCCCTGCTCATCACTGATTACCTGTCATCTTGTTTGTTTTGGCCATGCTGCTCAGTGGAGTGATGCCAACCACACGGACTTTGTCGACTCAGCTGGCAGCTTGTTGCAACACGCTCTCGCCCTTCTGAGGCCCACCAAGGTCTCAGCTCGCCAGCTGCCCCCAAGCGTAGCCCGGGTGGACGCCAAGAGCCGAGTGCTGTTTCCCCTGGGGTGGGGACATGCTGCTGAGTATGTTCGGCCTCGAGTGGCCCTCATTGGGTAAGATGGGAAACGGAGCAGGGCGCCCCCTCTCACCGTACTGCTAGAAGCCACGTCTGAACTCTGCATTACTCTTAGGGATGCAGCCCACAGAGTCCACCCGCTTGCAGGACAAGGAGTCAACATGGGCTTTGGGGATATCTCCAGCCTGGCCCATCACCTCAGCAGTGCAGCCTTCAATGGGAGAGACCTGGGTAAGGACTAATGCAGAGGTCAGAGTTAACGGCAGTCACAGTGCCCAGATGGCCCTCAGGAGTGGGATGGAGTGGACTCAAATAAGAAGCATCTGGTTTTCCAGGAGAGGGGAGACTTTATCAGGGATTAGACTTTCCCCTTTCCACTTTCTCCCAGGCTCCATGAGCCATCTCACAGGTTATGAAACAGAGAGACAGCGGCACAACACTGCACTCCTGGCAGCCACAGACTTACTGAAGAGGCTGTATTCCACCAGAGCCACGCCGCTGGTGCTCCTCAGGACGTGGGGCCTGCAGGCCACCAATGCAGTGTCGCCACTCAAAGTAAGAGGCTGTGCTCGGCCCTCTGGGACTCGTGCTCATTGAGGAATGACTTGTAAACAGTCATTACTTTCTTTAAATTTGTTTTGAATGAGTTTTGACTACAAAATCACTATTATCTTCATTGTGTACCTGGCTCAGTGTTATGAGCCAAAACTGCTTTCTTGGCTTACTGGGGTTAGCGTCCCCAGACAGTAACTTTCTCTACAGAAGGACTTAAGATGAACATGTTTAGCCCTTGTTGCTTTGCCAGCTTCTTTCCTGAGAAACTTCCATTTACTCTCTCTGTCTAGCATCGGGGACTCTTGCCAAGTTTTTGCTCTTCAGCTATTTTAAAGTGTTTTCTTCACCCGCCCTCACAGCTTGCAGTATCAGAATATCACTCACTCTGTTTCGTTTCCTTTTCCTCCAGGGACAGATCATGGCCTTTGCAAGCAAATGAGTGCTCCTCTTCCGAGAGTATGTTGATGAGAAAAGACTATCGCAGCCTAAGACCATCACACGTTTCCAAGCTTTAAGTTAATAAATTTGTTAAAATGCTTGTTTCTTTCTTGCTTTTGGTTAATGGCCTGTGGAACCCAAATAACGCCCAGCCAAGGAACGAGCCCCAGAGACGACTCTCATGATGTGATTGAAAGAGCTTTTTATTACTAAAACAAAAATCACTGAGGCGCTATCTCATTTTCCCTTGTTAATCATTCTAAAGATTTAGTTTCTTTAATGCTGCTTATAAATTTAGTTTTTTTGGTAGAAGAATTATAAATACTCGGTTGATGCATTTAATTAAATAGAAATTCTTTTAACCTTTGATATAGATACACTGGACCTCATGAAAAGAAAACCAAGTCGTAATGCCACTTCTGTCCTCATACAGCACCAGATTTCTAGTAGATTTCTGGATCCTTCACTGTCTGTTCAGTAACAAACATTAAATAGCTTCACTGCACAGCTTGGAAGACCGCAGGAACCAGATCAGAAGGGGCACTGCTCCTCAGCAGCGTTTGTTCCTGTCTGCCGGCGTGGAGGGAGCAGTGCTGTGCTGTGCTGTGCTGTGCTGTGCTGTGCTGTGGGTTTTGAAGAGCTTGCTCCACAGTACCAGAGACGCCTCTTGAGAAATTTAGGTCTGCTGGATCTGCACACTACAAAGCCAGCTTGCCCCAGACCCTGACTTGAAGACTTTTGAACCCAGCCAAGCTGTTCCCAGGAATAATTTTTGAAAGCATGGGAAATTCGCTACTACATGGGAGCTTTTCAAACAAAGGTAGAAAACAGGTAAGATTTCTAGAGTAAAAAGAGGGACAATGTCACAGACCTTTCTGGAAAAATGTACCCAGAACAAAAGATGGCAGCTGCTGGGACTACTGGTGGGCTGCAGGCACAGGGTCATCTCTCATCAAACACACAGTGGTAGCCCAGGTAAGGAGAACGTGGACCATCCAAGACGGGGAGAGTTCCAAAGCCCACAGGGGATGTTCTTCATATAAACACAGCATCCCCTCTGTGCCAGGCTGTGCCCTCAGCATTTTAAACACAAGTCTAGTAAGAGAAGAAACTAACCAGGAATGTTAGACTCTGTAGGGTCTCTTAAGAAGAGGCCCAAAGGGGACACTAGGGGGCAGAAAGGACATTATAGGTAAATCTTTTTCTAAGAAAAATTTTCATTCCAAATTGCTCTTAATTCTCCAGATGTTCTGATCAAGATTAATATATTGATAAATTATAATTATTTATAATAAGTTTCTAAAGTCAGTGCATCCACCCAAGAGATCTGAAGGAGTCAGCCTGGGCAATATGTGTGCTTTACAGATATGGCTCACTCCTGTGCGTAAGACACTGAGAGATAACCTGCGGTGAGAGAAGCCCAGGGAATCCTTCAGATCCTGGAAAGCTGCAGGAGTCTACACAGCTTCCCTCCTGGGAAGTAAATCTCCCTGATGATACAGAATGCTTAGTGTACCGTGACTGCTTTAGCACTGTACTCTTGACAAAGATGGTCAGGGTCCAGACATGTTAAAAGGGACCATAAGGAACTTGGAGTTTTCTTCAAAAATAATGAAAGGCTCTAGAAGGAGAAATCACAGCAGAACTACAGTCCACTGGGAACACAGATTCCAGCTCAGTGGAAGGGGCACTGTAACATCGTGCAGCTCGGAACTACCTGAGCAGAAGCTGGATGATCGCCTGTTGGTAATGCTGAGGGGTTTCTGCAGTGGGTATGGGCTGTTTCCAATTCTAGCACTTTCTGAGTAAGGCAGTATTTACAAAGGTAATATTTATAATAAGAGTATGAAAAGTCTGAAGAAATTCCACACTGAATTTAAAAAAACTAAAACTTGGAGGAAAGGTACAGAAACTTTCGAAGTTCCTTGCACATAGCACATATTAAATATTTACTGACCCAAGGGAGTAACTTAAGATTTCCCCAGGGACTGATGCATGAAGGTCATGCATCTTTAACAGCCTTGAGGAGGAAGCAGAAGGACCGGGAGGTCTACCATGAAAGCTCTTTGGGAAGAAGCCAGAATACAGGGCAAGAGCACTAAGGTGGGCAGACAAGCAGCAGGTGATGGTCACAGGACGAAAGTACAAGCTAACGTGGGGGGATAATTCATAGAATAAACAGGGTCCTCCAGCCACGCTGGACTAGCTGTACCGCCAGGGGCCGAGAGATCGCAGCGCAAGGCCGGAGATCCTAGGATCAGCCAACTGGCATGCTCGCTCAGATGACCAGGGGCCGGGCAGGAGAGGAGAGCTACAAACAGAAGGGCAAACTAAAGAGGCTACGACCCTGAACAGCACAGACACTGCCCCCTCACCACAGGCCAACAGCTAGCACGTAACTACAAAAGGTAAGTTTAGGATCATGGATAATACTATAAACACATTAGCCTGGGAGGCGATACTGGCACTGAATCCACACATACCCATAAAGTTGGATGTGTTAATTAACACCAGGGTTCACTGATAAAAAGTTGGTTAAAGGAGCTCAGATACAGGAGGCGACCACACCTTCCCTAAAGGTCCCTAGAGTTCTTCTGGCCATGACTGGCAGTTAGGAGTTACTTTCCTGTCCGGCCTGTGGCTCTCAGCTGGCTGCCCAGAGCAGAAGCAAGATTCTCAAGTGGTGCCCTTTGTGTGTTTGAGTCATACATGGAAAGCAAGACCAGGTAAAATACCTGTCCTTGGGGAGGACAGTGCAGATACGCGTGGGGCGGGGGGAGACCCTGGTATTGGTAGGTCACGGGACTGCAGGGGAGAGAGACTGTTCAAGGGGATGAGGCACTCAGGGTTAAAATGACATGTTTCTTTGGTTCCCAGGGACTATTCCCTGAGCTCTAACTCCAAGGCTGAGTTCCAGAGCTATTCTGTTTGAGATTCTTGGTCACAGAGAGCCCGCCATGAGCCAAAGATTTAGACTGGTGCCAGCTGTGTACCCCGAGTGGTTAGGTAAAAGTTCACATTACATGTGTAGAATTAATCAAACCCAGATCTGTAGGCTCAAGGGCAAGATCCATCTACAAAAGCCCTTTCTTCCCGAGAAAGCCGGCTGCTGGGCTCAGTCCCACCTGGCTCAGAAAACGACTGAGTCCTTCCTTCCTGTAAAAGGCTGGTGGACGCAGGCCTCAGAGGAAGTGGCTGACCTCAGTAGGAGATGCCCAGAGACTGCAACAGGTGAAACGTGGCTCCCAAGGCCCAGCCCGTTTCTATGTTGTTCACTTTCTTTGCGAGCTGTTGGGAGGAGGAGAGGAGAAAGTGTCTTCACATTCTTGTCCGATTTTCTGCACTTCTGCAGAGAGTACCCACATGGCCAACCCAAGGCGAAATTCAGAGTGGCCAACCTTTGGAGGTTTCCCACTACTCTGTTAACAGCTTCCCTCCATGCCTCAATACCTGCCATTCTGATCCCCTAATGCTTCCGACCCAAGAAGTCCCACACAGGCTTTCTAGAGAGATCCAGACAGGATTCCGACCTCTTCTAATCCTAAAACTAAACATAGCATCTTTTTTTTCCCCCTGAATCACCAGTTTTTGAAAAGGCAACTGAGAATCAAACGCTAAAGGATGTGGTAGAAAGGGCCTAGACTGGGGTAGGAAAGAACATATAAGCTCAGTTCATACTGTGTGAGCAACTGCCTCCTCTTCAGCACTAGGAGACCGGCAGGCTGGGCCTCAGTGAGCACGGGGCCCGTATGTCCTCAGAGGTATAACAAGGGGACTGTGTTGTGTTTACCGATTTTCTTCAGAATCCTAGGGGCTCCTTGGAAATGCTTCCAAGGAGAAAGGCCAGCTAGCATTCTGCTGCAACCAGAACAGCTCTGCTTTTCACTATGAATTACTGACATTCCACCTTATTTTTTGAATAAGGATGCACTGGCACCAAAAAGTCTGAAAATCGGTGGACTGTAGTGACTGTGGTAATGAGTCTGGTTGCTGTGACCAACACTGGGGAGCACAGCACTGAAATCCTTAGCTTGAGGCTCAGCCCGGGACCCCTCAGACTAGGAGTCCACCACCCAAAATGTTTATTCCCTCCTCAGGACCAGGCCAGCAGCCTAGGGACGGAGATGCCAAAATGAAGCAACCTCTGGGACAAGGGCCTGTCCTCCCCTAATTTAAGTTCTCCCACTGAAATTAGAGGTTTTTTTTTCCTAAAGCCAGCACTGAAAATAGAAGTGTCACTAGCAGGTCGGTTCTCACTGGTGCCTCAGCAGAGGCGGTTATTAGCTCCCCATGTCCTGGCAGGCTTACGTCTCGCACCCACAGACTGGTGTGAGATGCCTCTGCTGATAGTGTCCCCAGTGGTAACAGCTCACTGTGCCTGGACATATGCTTTCCATGCCTTATCTCGATTTGCAGACCAGCCCTGTGAAATGGGTGTTTTAAGGATCCTAGTGTTCTGAGTGAGGAACCTAAAAGAGGGGACCTGAGCTAGAGGCTGAGCCGGACACGGGTGCCTTTACCAGCACACAACTCTGCTAACTGGCTCCTTTCTGGTAAGCACTTTAAGTGACAGATCACAAAGACACATTACGTACCATGCCAGAACGGGCACTGTCAACTCACCTGGGACCAGGCAAACAGGAAGGAAGAGTGGCACAAGAAAGGCAGGCAAGGGGCTTAGAAGATAAACCCTTCTAACATGCTTGACCCCAGCTCTGCGGCTGCCTTGTGCCATCGCTGTAGTTTTGGTCCAACCTCTTCTAATACACTGTAGGCTGTATGAGGCCCAAATCACTTCTAATCACCTCTGTCACTATAATGGACAATTACTCAAGTGTGATACAGAGCAAATTAAATGGGGTGGATGATGTCTTTTAGAATCGACAACTTAGAAAACAGTTTGCACGTGCCAACGGTGCAGAGAAGAGGACGAAGAAGCACGACCTGAGGCACACCTAAAACACACACTGCAGATGCACAGGGCACTCACTGGTGACACCTTTCTGGTCCCTCAGGTGCTCTGCTAAATAAAACCCATCTAGGACCTACGGGTGGGCTCACGCTACTGACCTGGTGCACCTGCCCTGGACCTCTCGGAATTGAGCAACTTTCTGTGATGGTCCCAGCACCTCTGTCCCTGTGCATCTTTGACAAAACTTCAGCCCTGACTCTTGTAACCACCCCATCAGGGACACGAACCCAGAGCAAGCACAGCCCAGGATTCAGGAAGTGTGCATTTCCAACCTGCACCCCGGCCCATGAGTTCCCTCTCCCCTCTCTTCTTGTTTCTTGCCCTGGGATCCAAATGGATCTAATAAACCACATGACTTGGGCATCTTAATTTGGGCGGCAGGCCTCTGTTCTGTGACCTCTGGCTTAGCTTGCCTGGTAACAAATTCGGAGGGGACCCCTGCTTTCAGGTAACCTCCACGCTGATGACCAGCACAGCGCCTCGTCCACTGCCTGAGCAGAAGTATCCCGCAGTGCCACCTAGGGCTGCTCTGACTACTGAGCAAGTTCTTGACCCCTTCCCCCCAATTCCAGAACACAGCCTGTCCCAGGCCGGCGGCGCTCCACCTCTCACCTGTAAGACGGTGCTGTCCGCAAAGCCAAAGCCGTCCTTCAGCAGGGCTGTGATGTAGCTGAGATCCATACACAGGAAAGGGCTGCCTGAGCTGAACTTCTCCAGGTTATCACACACTGCAAGTGGGGGAGTGAACAGCTGAGAGGTGCAGTTCTCTAAATACAGGCAGACAGCAGGGCAAAGCCAGAGTCTCCTGGAGACCAGACTGCACCGATGGCTTCTGCAAAACCAAGTCTGCACATCCCCGTGGTGACAGCTTATTTCCCAAGTTCTTTGACTTATTGTGGGGACCTACTTCTAAGTCCCTGATGTGTTACAAACGCTGTGGCCCGAGAGACAGGAAGTACCAGTTCGGTCTAAGCCAGTGCCGCGGGGGCGCCTGGATGAGCTCATCTGTTGTTGAGATCAGTCCTCAAGGAGGCCCCGGAAGCTCTCCCCCAGGATCTCGAGCACTCGCTGTGTCACTAACCCGAGACCACTACCGCAGTCAGACCACAAAGGAAGAAATGTCGGAGGACACGGTTTCACCATTCCCCAGCGCCTCCTGGAGTCCCATATTCTTTCCCAGAACTGTAACAGCACACAGCAATGTTTGAAACTCCTCGCGAAGCCAGGGAGGCCCAGGGAGGGAAGCAGCCTTCTAGAGGCGCTGAGCTGAGCCGCTGGCTGCGTGGGGGCCCCGGGGCGCAGGCAGAGGCTCGCGCACTCACCCTGGAGGGCTTCCTGACACTCACCTTCCCTGGCCTTTCTTTCAAAATCTTCAACCTTTAAAACACCCCCCTTTGCATAATCTGAAATAGAACAGTAGCTGATGTCAAAAAGTATTCAAGAAAACAAGGACATTGATTCTAGTGATATTTATAATCATGAAAAGCTGAATAAAATGTCCAAAATTTGAGAAAGGACTATGCAAACATAACATCTACACAACACACTCTATGCAGCCCGTTTTACTCACCTAGTTTATGTGTATTTAACACAGTAAAAAACAGACAATGCAGTGGGAAAGGAGAAACTCACTCCTACCAGGTCATGACGGATCACGTCACCAACTCCCGCACAGTAACGAAAGCATTACTCTGGGGATAAGGCAGAGTTGTAAAGGGCAGGAAGAAATTCTCGGGGGTGACGCGTTCACTGTTGTACACATGACAAAACGTGCAAACCGCAAGCTATCAACATGCATTTACTGAAGGGCCATTATACCTCATACAGATGGAAAGAACACCGCCTACGTGTACTGCTGCCTAGGTCGTCTTCTAGCTCCAAAGCACCCAACACCTCACCCAGCCTTCTGCTCCCCCAAGTCCACAGCTACTCGGCAGCAGCATGGAGAGGAGCCGGGCGAGCGCCCACGGGCACTGCAGACGCTGCCCTGTGCCCCGCCCCCAGTGCACTCACCGATCATGCCCGTGTCAACAGCCCGATCGTAGTAGTAAGAGAACGCATAGAAGGAGCTTCTCTGGACCTCCTCTGGCTGGTGCAGCTTCCCTTGTACCACTCTCAGCACTTCAGCATAGCAGGGCTCAAAGCCCATGTCCCCTGCAAAGGTGCACAGGGGGAGGTGAGAACAGGGATGGGGGCGCACTGAGGCAAGCTGCTGAAGACAGGAGGCTGAGGCTCGCAAGCAAAGCTGAGCGAACTTGTGCAGCCTCACTGCCCCGTGTTTCTGGAGCCGTGTATTCACAGCGGTGCCGGCCCTGAGGAGCAGGTAGCTGGAGGGCTCACTGGCTTCCTTCACGTGGACTTGGAGCCGTGTATTCACAGCTCACTGGCTTCCTTCACGTGGACTTGAATTTTTTTTCTTAAATATTTATTTATTTTATTTGAAAGGCAGAGTTACAGAGAGGCAGAGGCAGAAAGAGAGGGGTCTTCTATCTGCTGGTTCATGCTCCAAATGGCCGCAAAGGCCAGAGCTGTGCCGATCTAAAGCCAGGAGCTTCTTACAGATCTCCCACACAGGGGTGGGGGCCAAGCACTTGGGCCATCTTCCATGGCTTTCCCAGGCCACAGCAGAGAGCTGGATCGGAAGTGGAGCAGCCGGGACTAGAACCCGTGCCCACGTGGAATGCCGGTGCTGCAGGCGGTGACTTTACCCGCTATGCCTGGCCCCTGGACTTGATTTTAAAGTCCATGCCTTATGTGATGCCCAAGATGAATCACGCTTCCAGCTGTCTCAATTTTAAGCTTTACTATAAATAGTTAAATATTAACTGAGCCTAAAACCAAGTTCATGCTGCTGCCTTAGGCTTGGGCTAACAGGCTTCCACCACCACAGTTGACTAGGCAACGAGAAGAACGCAAATGAGAGCTGTCTTGCTGGCCGCTGTCTCACACTGGTCACCGGAGGCACACCAAGATCATGGGAGTAAGCCCCGCAACATGCATGCTTCTCTTGAGCGCCAGGAAGACGACTCCGTGGGACTTTTCCACAACTTCTATTCAAAGGGCAATTTCAATTCATGAAAAAACATCACTCCAGGGGTAGGTATTTAGGGCAGCAGTTAAAACGCTCCCCATATCCCATATTGTAGTGCCTGGGTTTTGTTTTTAATGTAAAGATTTATTTTTTGAAGGGCAGAGAGAGAGAGAGAGAGGGAGAGGGAGGAGAGAGATGGATCTTCCATCTGCTAGTTCACTCACCAAATGGCCACAATGGCAGGGGCTGGTCCAGGCCGAAGCCAGGACCTGGAGCACCGTCCCGGTCTTCCACATGGAGTGGCAGGGTCCCTCCACTGACTTCCCAGGCTCATTAGCAGAAAACTTGATCAGAAGTAGAGCAGCGGGGACTCAAGCTGGCGCTCTGATATGGGATGCTAGTGTCACAGGCAGCAGCTGGGCGTGCTGCACCACAGCGCGGGCCCCTGGATCCACTTCTCACTCGGGAGAGAGCAGACGACGGCTCAAGTGCTTAGGTCCCTGACACACGTATGGGAGACGGGGATTGAGTTCTGAGCTCCTGGCTTCAGCCTGGCTCAGCCCCAGCTAAAACAGGTACTAGAGGAGTGAACTAGCAGGCGGAAGGTCTCTCTCTGCCTTTGTCTGGCTTTCAAATAATTTTTTAGAAAAGTTTTATTTTGGGGCTGGCGCTGTGGCACCGCTGGTTAAAACTACAGCCTACAGCGCTGGCATCTCATACAGGGTGCTGGTTGGAGTCCTGGTTGCTCTACTTCTGATCCAACTCCCTGCTAGAGAAGGCAGCAGAGGATGGCCCAACTACTTGGGCCCCTGCACCCACAGGGAAGACCTGATGAAGCTCCTGGCTTTGGCCTGGCCAGGCCCCCCAAGTTGTTGTGGCCCTTTGGGGAGTAAACCAGTGGATGGAAGATCTCTCTCTCCTTCTAACTCTGACTTTCAAATAATTAAAATAGTTCATTTTACAGAGAGATGGCGAGACAGAAAGAAAGAGATCTTCTGTCTGCTGATTTACTCCCCAAATGGCTGCAACTGCCAGGCCCAGGCCAGGCTGAAGCCAGGAGCTTCTTCTGGGTCTCCCACGTGGGTGCAGGGGCCCAAGGACTTGGGCCATCTTCTGCTGCTTTCCCAGGCCATCATCAGGCAGCTGGATGGGAAGTGGAGCCAGGATGTAAGATCTGCTCTCCCAGTACAGGCTGCTGTTCTCTTGTGCACAGGGAGGCAGCCTGTCGGTTTCCCCCCATCCATCAATAAGCCTTTTCCCCTAAAAAAAAAAAAAAAAAAAAAAAAAAAAGAAGTGGAGCCAGGAAGCCAGCACTGCAGGCAGCAACTTTACCTGTTATAACATCAGCCCCTCAAATGCATTTTTAAAAATTAACTATTTAATTATAAGTAGTTAAAAATGTAAAAATCTCTATATAAACACAAAATCCCTTACCTTCTTGGTTGCCACCATATTGGTATTTTACACCCCCAAAGATCCACTCTGCTTCCAACCATCTCGGTAGACAGGCACTTCGGAAAGTGTGTCCATCAATTCCTAAAAAAGCCAAGGCACAAAGTAAGAGACAAGTACGTGAGAGAGAAGGGAGGAGCAAGCAAGAAGTCCCTGGGGTTGAGAGGAGTCACCAAGGGGGCTGGGCTGACGGTCTGAGGAAATTAACTGCACGACTGTGTCCCGGGACAGGAATTGTTATCTCGGGGTTCCTGGGCCGCGTGGTGTTGGCGAACCTTTGGAAACGGCAAGCAGCGTTTGTGCACATGCACCTGTGACAGTGTGGCCCATCACTGTCCTCACATCTCATAGAAATCCAAAACCCACAATAATGTAAGTTCCTTCCTTTCTGAAAAAGGGAAAAAATACTGTGCTACCGTCCTCACTGGCTGCTTTCGGGAAATACACTTGAAGATGTCTTGTGGACTCTGAAATGCTACACAATCATCATCCCAGAAGTTCACTGTGGGGCCAGCACTGTGGTACAGCGGAGCACCACCTGCCATGCTGGCATCCCACATGAACTCCAGTTCGAGTCTCGGCTGCTCCACTGCACATCCAGCTCCCTGCTGATGCACCTGGGAAGGCAGTGGAAGATGGCCCAACGCCCTGGGCCCCTGCCACCCACATGGGAGACATGGATGGAGTTCCTGGCTCCCATCTTTGGCCTGGCCCAGCCCCAGCTGTTGCAGCCATTTGGGAAGTCAATCAGCAGATGGAAGATCTCTAACTTGACCTTTCAAATAAATAAATTTTAAAAAACCACCATCACCACCACCAAATAATTTCCTGCGAGTCAGGCACCGTAAAAAATGTAGTAAATGAAGTTTCCTTGAAGGTGAGGAAAGCGGCCCAGAAATGGTAATTAACTTGCCCAAATCACAAAACTCGGACTGACCCCAGTTCTGCCTGACCCCAACCATGAAGGGATGAGTGGAGTTGTTCAGTTATTCCACCTTGTAAGTAGAACAAACCCTGCCTGCTTCCTGCACCTGCCACAGAAAGCCCAGGGCCTGTCCAAGGTCCTGTCAAACACCTGGAGCCTGGGAAGTGTGCAGTTAAGCCTCCAGGCCACAGCTGATCCCCTGCGTGAGCGGACCTCATTCTGAAAACAGCTAATCTATGTCAAAACACTTGCATGTACAAAATAAAAAGGAATTGGCTGTTATTATATGCATTATACAGCATCTGCTTCCCAGTTCAACACAAGCCCTTCTGCCACTGAACCGGTGCCAAGGAAGGCAAGAAGCAAGCCGAGGATGGGCCACCCCACCTGACACAGGTACCCAGACGAACCTTCCGTCTCCAGGGCGCCCAGCGTTGCCAGTCTTGCAGCTTTCAATCCAAATCCCAAGTAACTGTAAGATACAGGATTGACCAACTTTGTGCTGGTCCTGAAGTTCTCCAGCCCAGAGCTACCTCCTGCAGAAGGAATGTGGTTTCTCTGCCTCCCTCTGGAAAATGGAAACCTTGTTCTCTGGGACCCACTCGTCTCGTGCTCAACAGTGGCTACTGCACAGTTTGGATGAAGGCTGTATAGGAAGAACCACCTTCACACCTTCAGCTAAGTGACAATTCCTGAGATCCTACCCTGGGACCATTTCCAGAAAAGCTCTCATGAGTGTGGCCTGGGTCCCAGCTGGGATCAAACTGCAGGCTGGATTTTGAACAACCGAGGGCCACCTCAAAGGAGCTGGTGTGGACCTGTGGCTGACTCTTTTCCAAGTGTCCTCTGGGGAGGGAAAATTCTTTACTCTGAATTTACATACTTTTAAGGCCAAGAATGGAGAAGCCTCTTAGGTCCCTTGGGTTTGGGTAAGTGGCTTAGGTTACAGCTGATAGGCTTAGGGGACTGGCAAAGATGTGTAGGGCTGGCCAAGTGCTGCATTGACAGATGTGTGAATGCTTTGAAGTTTTAGAGACTCATACAACACGCAGAAAATTCTCCCCTGTCCCCCTCCTCACCTATGTGTATAGAGCTTATAAGTGCTGTTAAACATCTCAAAGGAAGTGAGGTAGTCCTTAGGGGTTTGTTCCAGGGTTTTCTGCAAATCAGAAAAAGCAGAAAGACCACTCAGGATCTGCAGTCACTGAAGATCTCATCATCACTACCCCTCTCCCTCCCCCCAAAGTCAGAGATGCAGATGGATTATGCTGCTGATCTCAGAAGCCCTGAAGACTAAGAGAGACTCTGAACCATGGCAGAAGCGCCAGGCTTCCTCAGTCTCGGTGGTGGAGCTGTCTGCCAGGTATACTGCTGGCCAGAAGTCCATGTAAATGACTCACCTTAAACTTCGGCAGAAATGTGATTTGGGTGGAGGCCCCCCCCAGGTCCAGGGTCCCCACAGTCTCCTGGCCACGGCCATGCAGCTGACCTGTTAACGAGAGCCAGCTCAGAATCTCCTCCACATCTGGACAGTCCACTGTGTCTGCAATTTCTCTCCTGTTGTCATCACACATGGAAAATATTCATCCCATAATCCTCTACGGTACCCTGGCCCCAAAGGCTGTGGGGAAATGTCAACCCACAAGGATTCCTGGTGCAGCTGAGGCCTTGAAGGCAGGTTGTAAACATTAACTTCCTTTCCTCCCCTCCAACTTAAAGGGGGGGGGGTATTTACTCTCCTGACCATGCCTCTGAAAGCCAGTTAAGATCTAGGATAAACTTGAGGACGTATTACCTGTCAGGAAGTTCACAGTAACCCAAGCTAAGATGCCTAGAGGAGAGAGAGAGACAACGATTACAGGCCAGAGCACATTTCCTCGTTCCTGGTCCCTGGTTGTTCTCTTCCTGTCTGCATTCCTCTTCTGGAGCACACGCTTCCCTCCCACCACGCTCCGCTCCCCACTGCTCTGTTTCCTTGTTCAGCTTCTTTCTCTCCAGCGCCCAGCCCGGTCCCAAGTTGCTTGAATCAGATCTTTCACCGACCCTGGGCCCTGCCCGGGAACAGGTATCACGGCCTTTCTCACCTTCATCGGATCCGTCCATGATACCAACACTGTCGTCTGGTACCAGGAAAGGTGACTTCTTGAAGATCTCCTCTACCTAGAGTGAACGAGAGGTGGGGGGGAGAGGGGTCTGGAGTCCCTAAAGCAATACAACCGACTTTCTTAGTTTGGCTGTGCTATAGGGCTTAGAAAACTACACTTTGTTCTCCCTAGGTAAAATTTTAGCGTAACTCATTCTTCCTGAGGAACCAGAGAAGAAATTAGACAAGTCATTGCTAGTTTCTTGCAAAACAGGGATTCCTTACTTTAAAGTAAACTTCAACCAAAACCATCTGATTTATAGGTGACCTGGACCTAGGAAAATGGCATGGACTTGGCCCGCCAGCTCCAATCATGCAGCATCTGAACTCTTTCTGGACACACAGTGGGGCTGGTGGCTTTGCCATCCCATTTCCTAGAGGAGCAGCTGAATCTGTGCCATTGTGGGCGCCTGGGTGCAAGGGCCAAGGTGCTAGCTCCCAGCCCCTGCTGGACTCGGGCACAGGCCTGGGGTCTCTAAGGTCTAGGCAGACCCCAGATCTAGACTTAGGGAAGGAATCCTACTCTTGGAGATGGGAACTCAGATCCTGCCCCGGGCTCTTCATTCTCCATAAATACAGGCTGCTGGCACTGGAGTTATCGTGGGGGAGACAAAGAATTCTCCAGATAGGAATAGGAAGCTGCTGTTCTCATTGCAAGTGGGACAGGAGAATTCTAGACCCTCTTTCAACCAGGACAAACCAGTCCCCTGACTGATAAGCGTGCTTTTAAGGAGAAGACAGAGAAGCAAACACAGAAAGACAGGTTCTGCTTTTGCTTTCACTCCTCTCCCCTCTCCCAGTTTGTCCTCAACACAGCAGCCAGAATGGGGCTTTTAAAACGGATGCCAGGTTCTCTCTCTTCCTTGCTCAAAACCTTCTGGTGGCTTCCTTCTTAGAAAACGCCAAAGTCTTTTCAAAGGTCCCGGAGACCCTACGTGATAACCCCCTCCTCGCCCACCACACACCACCACCTCACTGATCTCATCTCCTGCTTCCCACTTGGCCCCTCCAGCCACGCTCATCTCCTGGACGCTGTTTCGGAACATTCCAAGCACAGTCCTGCCTCTGGCCCTCGCACGGCTGTTTCTTTGCTCTGGAACCTTCTTCCCCCAGACATCTTCTGTAACTTGCTCCTTCATTCTCCTCAGTGTGTGATCAGGTGACCCTTACCAGAGGGTCTTCCTGACGGCCTGAGGCCAGCATCTCCCCACAGCCCGGCAGTGTCCCCTGCCTGCTTTACGCTCTCCGTGGCATCCACAGCCCCTGACATGCTTTCCCTGACTTTCGGGTTGCCTGTTTTCTATATCTCACACACGAGAGTGTAAGCGCCACGAGGGGAGGGACTGTTCTTTTCCACTCCCTGCGGAGTGAGTTCCCAGTGATGTCACTGGTGCCCAGAACCAGGTCAGCACTCACATGCTGAATGAATGATGAATGAGTGAGCAATCAGGATTCAGATTCTCACACAGACATGCTAGGATGCTTACCCTTGCACAAGGGACTGAAGACCCCTGTGCTAACCGTCAAAGCAAAATGGATTTAGATGACAAATTAGCACACCTGCAGTACAGAATCCTGGGCCAGCATTGTGACTTAGTGGGTGAAGCTGCTGCCTGTGACACTGGCATCCCATACAGGCACTAGTTTGAATTCTAGCTGCTCCACTTCTGATCCAGCTCTCTGCTATAGCCGGGAAAGCAGCAGAGGATGGCCCAAGTCCTCGGGCTCCTGCACCGGCATGGGAGACCTGGAGGAAGCTCCTGGCTCCTGGCTTTGGATTTGCTGTTTTAGCCATCTGGGAAGTGAACCAGCAGATGGAAGACTTTTCTCTCTCTCGGCCTCTTGCCTCTCTGTAACTCTGCCTTTCTAATACAATAAATAAATCTTTTTAAAAAATACAGAATCCTTTTATCTTGTTTTCTGTTATGATAGGATTCTGTATATAATAAGCTTTACAACATGAATTTAAATCTTAGTAATTTATATATTTGCTGCAAAATATGAATAAAATTGAAAATATTGAACTTAACACATCTATATATTTAAATTTTTGACCTGAACAAGTTGAAATAGATGACTTTAAAATGTTTTCAAACTTTAAAATTCCATGATAATTCTCAAAAGCTGCTCAAAGATAAAAACCAGACATAAGAGCATATAAACTGTAAGATTCCACTTGTATGAAATATAAAAATGTGCAAAACTCACCTAGAGTGACAGACTGCAGATCAGTGGTTGCCTGGGTTCAGGAGTGGGGGAACCTGACCATAAGGGGGCATGAGGAGACTTCTTTTTTTTTTTTTTTTTTTTTTTTGACAGGCAGAGTGGACAGTGAGAGAGAGAGACAGAGAGAGAAAGGTCTTCCTTTGCCGTTGGTTCACCCTCCAATGGCCGCCGCTGCAGCCGGCGCACCGCGCTGATCCTGGCAGGAGCCAGGAGCCAGGTGCTTTTCCTGGTCTCCCATGGGGTGCAGGGCCCAAGCACCTGGGCCATCCTCCACTGCACTCCCTGGCCATAGCAGAGAGCTGGCCTGGAAGAGGGGCAACCGGGACAGAATCCGGCGCCCCAACCGGGACTAGAACCCGGTGTGCCGGCGCCGCAAGGTGGAGGATTAGCCTATTGAGCCACGGCGCCGGCTGAGGAGACTTCTGTATTTGTAAAAATTCATTTACTTGCATATTTGGAATGGATACATTTTATAATATGTAAGTTTACCTCAATAAAATTGGTTAAAAACAATTTCTGTAATTTTGCTTATAAAGTTAGAGAAGTTGGGATTGCTAAGACATTGCAGGAAGAGCGCAATATTATTCTGAGAGTACTAGACAGACACATAAATAACTCACTATGACAAGAGCCTCGGTCACCACTGGGCTGAAACCACAGCAGAATACTGACATGACAGTCATACCCCAAAGGCCTAAAGATTCATAAAGAAAATACTCCTGAGGGAGAAAGAATGAGCCAAGATGCAGATTTCGTTACCTCCAAGAGCAGAGCCTGGGCTTTCTGTCCTGGCAGCAAGCGCAGTCCTGCTGTTGCCTTCAGGACCACGGGGGTCATTTTCCAGTGACTTCGTGGAATAGAGTCTTTGGCCATGTCCAAGAGTCCTTGAACGGTCTCAGCACCCTTCAAAAGAGACAACTTGTCCATCCAATGAACAGCCCATTGTGGCACTGCTCTGTTCCTTCCACGTGCTTTGTGGGAGCAAGAGGAAGGAGGTGGCAAAGGGCTCCAAACACTCCACTCTGTGGAGCACTTTGTAGGAGAAATTCCTTTCAACCTGACAGTCGTTAACAAAAATTATTCTTTTAATTATAGTGGGCCATTGTAGCTGAGTGTTATTTTATGTCTCATATACATTATCTTTAAAAATGTATTTATTGGGGCCAGCGCTGTGGTGTAGTGGGTAAAGCCACCGCCTACAGTGCCAGCATCCCATATGGGCTCCAGTTCAAGTCCTGGTTGCTCCACTTTCGATGCAACTCTCTGCTATGGCCTGGGAAAACAGTAGATGGTCCAAATCCTTGGGCCCCTGCACCCACATGGGAGACCCGGAAGAAGCTCCTGGTTCCTTGGCTTCAGAACAGTGCAGCTCTAGCCACTGAGGCCAATTGAGGAGTGAAGCAGTGGATGGAAGAGTTCTCTCTCTGCCTGTCTGCCTCTCTCTGTGTAACTCTGAGCTTCAAATAAATAAATAAATCTTTTTTAAAAAATGTATTTATTTGAAAGAGTGACAGAGAAAGAGGGAGAGAAGAGAGGAGAGGAGAAGGGAGGGGAGAGAGAGAGGGAGAGAGAATGACTTAATCTTTCATCCGCTATTCCACTGGCCAAATGGCTACAATGACCAGTCTGAAATCAGGTGCCTGGAACTCCATCCAGGTCTCCCACGTGGATGGCAGAGGCCCAAGGACATGGGGATTTTCCACCACTTTCCCTGGATTGGAAGCAAATGAACTGGAACTGGAACCAGCGCTCTCATATGGGATGCTGGCTTTGCACTCTCATATGGGATGGTGGCTTAATCTGCTATGCCACAACACTGACCCCCATAAATTATCTGTGGGCCAGAATGTTGGGTACAGGGGAAGAACCATGGGAGTTGAAGTCAGCAGACCTGCTCACTAAGTCTGTGGCCCGACGTAGGTCACTTGGCCTTCCTGGGCCTTGGTTTCCTCAGGTGCCACGGGAGACACCCCTCATACCACCACTCAACTGGTGTCCACGTAGACAAGGTGGCGTGTGTGTGGCTGCCACAACACATGCGCGCTGGGCTGCTATCATGCTGCAGTCTGTGATCTCACTTTGTCAGGCTCATTTTTGCACTCACCAGCACCTGTGCTCACAGCACACAGTAGATGCTCAATTTATAATAAATGAAAATCATTACTTCAAATCTACCATCTCCCAGAGTGAACATTTATTCCTTAATCATTATTACTAGCAACCACAAAGCAATCATCTCTACCAAGTGTCTCATCAGAAGCAGGTACTGTGGCACAGAAGTTACGCTGCTGCTTGGAGTGTCTGGGTGTGAGTCCTGCTTCTGCTTCTGATGCAGCTTCCTGCTAATGTGGAAGACAGCAGGCATGGCTCAAGTACTCGGTTCCTGTCAACAAGAGACCTGGATGGAGCTCCTGGCTTCAGCCTAGATCCAGCCCCGGCTGTTGTGGGCATTTGGGGAGTGAAACAACAGGTGGAAGAGTGCTCTCCCCACAACTTCCTCCTCCCTCTCTTTCCCCCCTCCCCATCTCTCCTCCCTTTTCCCCTCTTGCCCCCTCTCTCTCCTCCCTCCCCCACCCAGCATCCCATATTAGAGTACTCCTCCACTTTTGATCCAGCTCCCTAGTAATGTGCCTGGGAAAGCAGAGAAGATGGCCCAAGTGCTTGGTTCCCTGCCACCCATGTGGGAGACCTGGAAAAAACTCCTGGCTCCTAGCTTCAGATCATCAGCTCAGCTCCTGCCGTCATGGCCATTTGGAGAGCGAACAGGCGAATGGAGGACCTCTCCCTCTTTCTGTCTGTAACTCTTACCTCCCAAATAAATAAATAAAATATTTTTAAAAACACTCCAAATAAGATTAAAAGGCAGAAAATAAGAAGTTCCACTTAAAAACATTAGCTGTCTAATCAGTTTCAGATATGAAGTGTTTCCAGCAGCTCCTAATTCTATATGTAGCACATCTGCCATTTCATACGCTACTGACTGAGAAAACACATCCTTGCAGCTCTTTAGGATCAAACCATTTTGCACATCAGGATTTCTTGGTTATTGATTTTTTATTTGAACATCAGGAGTTACATAGAAAGAAGGAGGCCGGCGCCGCGGCTCACTAGGCTAATCCTCCGCCTTGCGGCGCATTGCGGCGCCGGCACACCAGGTCCTAGTCCCGGTCGGGGCGCCGGATTCTGTCCCAGTTGCCCCTCTTCCAGGCCAGCTCTCTGCTGTGGCCCGGGAGTGCAGTGGAGGATGGCCCAAGTGCTTGGGCCCTGCACCCCATGGGAGACCAGGAGAAGTACCTGGCTCCTGCCATCGGATCAACGTGGTGCGCTGGCCGCAGCGGCCATTGGAGGGTGAACCAACGGCAAAGGAAGACCTTTCTCTCTCTCTCTCACTGTCCACTCTGCCTGTCAAAAAATAAAAAAATTAAAAAAATATATAAAAAAAAGAAAGAAGGGCCGGCGCCGCGGCTCACTAGGCTAATCCTCCGCCTAGCGGCGCCGGCACACCGGGTTCTAGTCCCGGTCGGGGCGCCGGATTCTGTCCCGGTTGCCCCTCTTCCAGGCCAGCCCTCTGCTGTGGCCAGGGAGTGCAGTGGAGGATGGCCCAGGTGCTTGGGCCCTGCACCCCGTGGGAGACCAGGAAAAGCACCTGGCTCCTGGCTCCTGCCATCGGATCAGCGCGGTGCGCCGGCCGCAGCGCGCCGGCCGCGGCGGCCATTGGAGGGTAAACCAACGGCAAAGGAAGACCTTTCTCTCTGTCTCTCTCTCTCACTGTCCACTCTGCCTGTCAAAAAAAAAAAAAAAAAAAAAAAAAAAAAAGAAAGAAGGATAAAGAGAGATCTTCCATCTGCTGGTTCACTCCCCAGATACCCATAAGCAGCCTGGCTCGTCTAGACTGAAGCCAGAGCCAAGCACTCCATCCAGGTCTCCCACGTGTGTAGTAGGGGCCTAAGTCCTTGGGCCATCTCCCGCTGCTTTCCAGGTGCATTGGCAGGGAGCTGGACTGGAAGCGGAGCAGTTGGAACACAAACCTGCATTGCAATATGGGATACTGGCGTGGTGAGCTGTGGTAAGCGGCAGCTTAACCTCCTGAGCCACAATTCTGGCCCCTAATGATTATTCTTGTGACACTGAACAATTCCTTTAGATTTGCTCCCAAACTTCAACATTCCGGCTGATTCTGTTTTATTTCAACATGGTGTCCTGCTTGCAGAGCATACTTTGCTGGTGGTGCTCCAACTCGAAATACAGTCGGAGCCACTCTCCATGCAGCCTCTACTCCCAAAGACTTTTTTGTCGGCATGGTTGCTCCTCGCTTTTCAGGTATGGGCGTGCTTCTATCCTCTATCAGGGTACTCTGACATACAACTCATGGGGTGTGCACCCCTCAGCTGCTATGTGTATATCTTGCACCCTACAGAACCTCATGGCCCTCTTTTGTGTTCATGTTAACCAACACAGTTGATGGTGCCAACTCAAAACCTCAGACAGCACATGCACAGGGAGAAACCTCTTAAGAGCTGGTGTCACCCCTGCAGGACCACAGTCTGTGTTCTAGCCTCGTTTCACACGGCCCTTAGTAGCCGGCAGTGTGCACCTACTATTATGTGGGGGATCAGCTAAAGAGAGAAAGTCCCCCTCACACATGGCCTCAATATCATTCATGAACGCAGCAGATACTGAACAGCGGTGGTGTGGTTAAATTATCAAGACATTTAGAATCTAAACATCAACCATGAGAAACTCACCTTCTTAGGATGATCTACAAAAGCAGAAAGTCCTGGCTTCACAGATTCAAAAATTTCCCCTTCCAGGATTGGAAGTTGTCCTATTTTGTCCATGAACAAAACAAAAGAGAGATGAGTAATGACCAGAAGTTAGCCTGCTTCAGATGCTGGGCTCTGTAATCTCATACAGTTTATGAGATTAACCTGCTCTTCCCTCCCACCCCCCGGGTTATTTCAAACCACCTCACCTGTGAGGAACAAGGGGCGGGGAAGGGAGGCTAACAGGCAACCCCTAATAGCCCCTCTGCCATTTCTAGGGGACACCTCCTGCCTACTCCTTCCCCAGGTCCTATAGGTATCCCGAGGAAAGAACGCTGATGGGGCTGGCACTGTGCTGCAGTGGGTTAAGCTGCTGCCTGTGACGCCAGCATCCCATATGAGCACCGTTCCAGTTCCATCTGCTCTGCTCCGGATCCAGCCCCCTGATATTGCACCTGGGAAAGCAGCAGATGATGGCCCAAGTGCTTGAGCCCTGCCAACCATGTGGGAGACCCAAATGGAGTTCCAGGCTCCTGGCTTTGGCCTGGTCCTTCCCTGGCTGATTCACCTATTTTGGAAGTGAGTTGGCAAGCAGAAGATCTTTCTCTGTCTCTCCCTCCCTCTCTGTACTCTTTCAAATCAATTAAAAAAATTAAAAAAAAAAAAAAAAAAAGAACACTGACACTTTAGAGAAGGTTGATCTTCAGAGTCACCTCAGCTGCTTCACAAGGATGTGAAGCTCTCATGGGATCCTTCTCAAGAACGCGCCCAATACAAAGGGGCCTCAGAAAGTTCACGGAAAAACGGAATTAAAAGTCTGAGCTTGGGGACCGGCGCCGCGGCTCACTAGGCTAATCCTCCGCCTTGCGGTGCTGGCACCCCAGGTTCTAGTCCCGGTCAAGGCGCCAGATTCTGTCCCGGTTGCTCCTCTTCCAGGCCAGCTCTCTGCTGTGGCCAGGGAGTGCAGTGGAGGATGGCCCAAGTGCTTGGGCCCTGCACCCCATGGGAGACCAGGATAAGTACCTGGCTCCTGCCTTTGGATCAGCGCGGTGCGCCGGCCACGGCGGCCATTGGAGGGTGAACCAACTGCAAAGGAAGACCTTTCTCTTTCTCTCTCTCACTGTCCACTCTGCCTGTCAAAAAATAAAAAAATAAAAATAAAAATATTTTTAAAAAAAGTCTGAGCTTGGGGCAGGCACAGTGGTGTAGTGGGTAAAGCCACCCACAGTACTGGCATCCCATCTGGGTGCTAGTTCAAATCCCAGCTATCCACTCCTGATCTAGCTCTCTGCTATAGCCTGGGAAAGCAGCAGAAGATGGCTCAAGTCATTGGGCCCCTGCACCCATGTGGGAGACCCGGAAGAAGCTCCTGACTTTGGATCATGCAGCTCTAGCCATTGCAGCCATTCGGGGGTGAACCAGCGGATGGAAGACCTCTCTCTCTTTGCCTCAGCCTCTCTGTAACTGCCTTTCAAATGAGTGAATAAATAAATAAATATTTTTTTAAAAAAGTCTGAGCTTATTTTGGTGTAAAAAAGCTTTTGAAACTCAGTTTTTTTCCTAAATATGTACAATGAACTGAGAAAATACTACTTTGCAGTTCTCTATAATTTTTTTAAAAATTATTTTCAAAGAGTTCCAAGATGATGGAGTAGGGAAGGAGCTTACTGCTCTAATCCAGGAGAAGATAGTTTGAAAAAAATGTGGAGAGTGTGCTGTCTCAGGGAAGAGTTAGGGAGAAAATGGCAGAGAAAACTCTACAGAAATGAGAGGGACACAGTGGACTTACGCAGAGGGCATGGATGCCCACAACTCAGGACTCCAGAGCCAAGAGCCTACAATATGAGCTTACTTGGAAAGTAAGGTGAGCCCAGAGGGAAGCAGCCCAAGCCACTGGTGTTAAAGCTGCAGGAAGAGCATAGAGGGAACCCGGCTTGGAGTCCCAGTGAGGATGGTGTACCAACCAAACTAGAGGAGGAAAAAAAAAAAAGGCATCCTGTAACAAGCTGATAGAGTGGGCACCATTTTGGACATACTTAACAGCTGTGCCAGCTCATGTCCGCACCCAGCAATCAGCCAAGTGGAGACTCCTGACTCTGGTGGGGAGCACTGACAGGGGGCTGGGTGCTTGTGACAGTGGGAGGCTTGTGTGCTGGGTGTGTGGGAGGACTCACGGTGTGGCTGGGACTGTGGGAAGTCATGGTGGTAGACTCCACATGCTTAGAGTTTCCTGGTTATCTGGTGAGGGACACTGCTGGAGAATCTGAGCTTACACTGACGACTGCAGAGATCCTTTGTGTGGTCCTTGGGGCGAATATTCTACCCACTGTGACTAGCGCTCAGGCTCTGGTCTCCTTTGGGAAGAGCTCAGTTGAGCAGAATAAATTCCCATTCTGATTAAAAAAAGAGAGAGAGATTTACCACGCCAAACCTGGGTGTGTCCCCTTAGACATGCCCTTCACCCTGGAGAACTAAACAGAGCTTCCTGGCCACACCCACTAAAAGCCTCTAGGTACCCACTGAAAGCAGACACTCCACTTATCTACAGAGCAATAGTACAATAGTACAAAGATAAAAACAACCACCACCACAAAAAAAAAGAAAAAAAGAAACCAACCAGTACCTCCATAAATGTCAAACAAACTACCAAATCAAGAAACAAGAATAAAGAACATGACGCCCCCCAAAAAACACAACACTTCAATACTAGATCGTGAAGATGATGAGATGCAAGAAATGCAAGAAATGGAATTCAAAAAATTGATCATAAGATTACATAGAAGTAATCAGAAGCAAATTCAAAAACTATTTTAATCTGTACAGGACACACAAGAAATTTCTCTCATGAAACTGAGATCTTAAAGAGAAATAAAAATGAAATGAAGAATTCAATAGAATAAAAATGCAGTGGAAAGCCTTAACAACAGAATAGGTGAAGCAGAAGAAAGAATATCTGACTTAGAAGACAAAGCACAGGAAATACAGTCAAACCAAAAAAAGAAGAGGAAATTAGAAAACTAAAAAACACTGTGGGGAAATCTACAGCATATTATCAAATGATCCAACACACAGGTTCTATGAGTTCCTAAAGGATCACAAGGCCTGTTTAGTGAAATAATTTGAGTTAACTTCCCTAATTTGGAGAAAGAAAGGGACATCCAAGTACAGGAAGCAAATAGAACTCCTAACAGACATAACAGAAAAGATCTTCATCACGACACACTATAATCAAACTCACCACAGTAAAACATAAAGAAAAGATTCTAAAATGTGCACGAAACACCAGATTACTTTCAGAAGATCTCTAATTAGACTCACAGCGGACTTCTCAACAGAAACCCTACAGGCTAGGAGAAAATGGCAAGATACAGTCCAAGTCTTAAAAGGAAAAAAAAAACTGTCAACCCAAGGTATGGTACAGAATGCTATACCTTGAAAAGCTCTCATTTATCAAAGAAGGTGAAATAGACCTTCCATAACAAACAGAAATTGAAAGAATTTGTCACCATCCATCCAGCCCTACAAAAGATCCTTAAGGATGTGCAGCTGCACCAGAAACATGGTCATCACTACAAAAGAAGGTAAAGGAAGAAAATCTCTCAGTGTAAGTTCAAAGGAAATTCAAAGTAAAAAAATAGGAATATTTTTAGAAAAATGGCAAAGTCGTTACTTATCAATAGTCACCTTGAATGTAAATGGCCTCAATTCTCTATTTAGAAGACACAGACTGGCTGAATGGATTAAAAACAAAACCCATCTATTTGCTGCCTACATCTCACCAACAAAGATGCACACAGACTGAAAGTGAAAGGTTGGGAAAAAAAAATCCCATAACAACAGAAACCAAAAAAGAGCTGGGGTAGCCATCCTAATATCAGACAAAATAGACTTTAACACAAAAACTGTTAAGAGAGACAAAGAAGGGTACTTTGTGACCATTAAGGGATCAATTCAACAGGAAGATGTAACTACTATAAACGTATATGCACCTAATTACAGGGCACCTGGCTATTTTAATGTTAAAGGATCTAAAGGGAAACACAGACTCTGATACAGTAGTAATGGGGGACTCCAATACTCCACTTTCAGCAATAGACAGATCAACCAGACAGAAAATCAGCAAGGAAACAGTACATTTAATCAACACTACAGACCAAATGGACCTAACAGATATTTACGAAACTTTTCATCCTACAGTTACAGAATATACATTTGTCTCAGCAGTACATAGAACTTTCTCTAGGATTGATCACATACTAGGCCATAAAGCAAGTCTCAGCAAATTCAAAAAAATCAAAATCATACCATGCATCTTTTTGGACTACAATGGGGTAAAGCTGGAAATCAGCAGCTCAGGAATCTCTAAAACATATGCAAACACATGGAGACTGAACAGCATGCTCCGTAATGAACAGTGAGTCACAGAAAAAAACAAGAGAGAAATAAAAAACATTTCTGGAAACAAATGAAGATGACAACACAACATATCAAAACTTAGGCGATACAGCAAAAGCAGTGTTAAGAGGAAAATTTATAGCAACTTGATGTCTACATCAAGAAATTAGAAAGGCACCAAATAAGTGATCTGTCAATGCATCTCAAGGATCTAGAAAAACTGCAGCAAACCAGACCCAAAACTAGTAGGAGAAAAGAAATAATTAAAATTAGAGAAGAAATCAACAAAACTGAATTAAAAAAAAAAAAACAGTACAAAAGATCAGCAAAACAAAGAGCTGTTTTTTTGAAAAAATAAGCAAAACTGACACACCATTGGCCCAACTAACCAAAAAAAGAAGAAGACCCAAATCAATAAAATTAGAGAAGAAAAATGAAATGTAACAGATGCCAAATAAATAAAAAGAATTATCAGAAATTACTACAAAGAGCTGTATGCCAACAAACTGGGAAACCTAGAAGAAATGGACAGATTCCTGGACACATACGACCTACCTATATTGAGCCATGAAGACAGAGAAAACCTAAACAGACCTGTAACTAAGACGGAAACTGAATCAGTAATAAAGGCTCTTCCCACAAAGAAAAGCCCAAGACCAGATAGCTTCACTGCTGAATTCTACCAGACATTTAAAGAAGTAACCCCACTGCTGGTAGGACTTTAAACCGGTAAAGCCACTGTGAAAGACAGTATGAGCCAGCGCTGCGGCTCACTAGGCTAATCCTCTGCGTGTGGCACTGGCACCCCGGGTTCTAGTCCCAGTTGGGGTGCCGGATTCTGTCCTGGCTGCTCCTCTTCCAGTCCAGCTCTCTGCTGTGGCCCCGGAGTGCAGTGGAGGATGGCCCAGGTCTTTGGGTCCTGTACCTGCCTAGGAGACCAGGAGAAAGCACCTGGCTCCTGGCTTTGGATCAGCACAGCACGTCAGCCGTAGCGGCCACTTGGGGGGTGAACCAACGGAAAAAAGACCTTTCTCTCTGTCTCTCCCTCACTAACTCTGCCTGTCAATAAATAAATAGATAAATAAATAAGTAAAAAAAAAAGACAGTATGGAGGTACCTCAAAATTCTGAATATAGACCTACCATATGACCCAGCCATCCCACTCCTGGGAATTTACCCAAGGGAAATGAAATCAGTAAACAAAAGTGTTATCTGCACTTCCATGTTTACTGAAGATGAATTTACAATAGCTAAGACATGGAATCAACCTAAATTCCCATCAGCCAAAGACTGGATAAATAAATTATGGGATATATACACTATGGAATACTACACAGAAGTAAAAAAAAAAAAATGACATCAGGTCATTTGCAACAAAATGGATGAATCTTGAAAACATCATACTTAGTGAAGTAAGCCAGTTCCAAAGGGACAAATACAACATATTCTCCCTGATCTGTGAGAACTAATAGAGCACCTAAAACGAAATCTGTAGAAGTGCAATTGACACTTTGAGAAGGGATGACTTGAGCTGCCCTTGTCTTGACTGTCAAGGAACAGTTTCAGGTTTTTTGTTTTTTTGTTTTTTTACCTTCATACTATTTATTGAACTATTTTTAATACCTTTTATATATTTTTTAAATTTATTTGAAAGACAGTTACAGAGAGAGGTAGAGACAGAGAGAGGGCTCTTCCATTCGCTGGTTCACTTCCCACATGGCCCCAACAGCCGGAGCTGTGCCGATCCAAAGGCAGGAGCCAGGAGCTTCTTCTGGGTCTCCCACATGAACGCAGGGGCCCAAGGACTTGGGTCACCTTCACTGCCTTTCCAGGCCATAGCAGAGAGCTGGATCAGAAGAGGAGCAGCCGGGACTAGAACCGGCACCCATATGTGATGCTGGCGCTTCAGGCCAGGGCTTTAACCCACAGCACCACAATGCCGGCCCCTGTTGAACTCTTAACATAGAGTTAACCATATGTGTATGAAGGCAACTGAAAATAGATCTCAGTGGCTGGCGCCGCAGCTCACTAGGCTAATCCTCCACCTTGCGGCGCCGGCACACCAGGTTCTAGTCCCGGTCGGGGTGCCGGATTCTGTCCCGGTTGCCACTCTTCCAGGCCAGCTCTCTGCTGTGGCCAGGGAGTGCAGTGGAGGATGGCCCAGGTGCTTGGGCCCTGCACCCACATGGGAGACCAGGAGAAGCACCTGGCTCCTGCCTTCGGATCAGCGCGGTGTGCTCTGCGGCGGCCACTGGAGGGTGAACCGACGGCAAAGGAAGACCTTTCTCTCTGTCTCTCTCTCACTGTCCACTCTGCCTGTCAAAAAAAAAAAAAAATAGATCTCAGTAAAAAATAAGAGTGAGAATAAGAGAGGGAGGAGGAAGTTTTGTAACTGGAAAGCTGTATAGTTCTGCATATATTCCTATGGACTTACTTCTAATGATACAGTTTAAAAATTTGTCATGTGACTCCAAACCTCATTAAGCTTGGTAGTAAAAATTCCATCTTAATTGCTAAAGTGATCATATTAAGTGTTAAAGTATTCATGTAAATAGGATCAACTGCCTGGTAATAATAAAAGATAGAATTAAATAGGAGACTGTTCCAACATGGGAAGCAGTCTACACAGCAGACTCATAGAATGACAATCGCTTTAAGTAACACTGTAACTTCAGAATCAGCCCTTAAGGCTTCCTGGTCTGGCTGAAAAGCCCATGAGAGCATTTCAGGCATGGAAAGCCAAGACACTGTGGCAAAAAATGGTCTACATAAAGGATCTCTGTGAGTGAGATCCCAGCAGAAAAAAAGTGGCCATCAAAGAGGGATGTACTTTTCTCTTAAAGGGAGGAGAGAACTTCCACTTTGCTTATGGCCTTATCCAATTGCTGACAGAGTCTGTGGGCTCAAAAGGCTTCCATAGCCCAGGCAGCTCATGTCAAGAGCCTTGGGTGGTCACTGACATCATATGTAAGAGTGTCAATTGTTAAATCAACAAGAGGAGTCGCTGTGCACTAACTCCCATGCAGGACCTCTGTCCCCAATGAGTTGTATTCTAAGTTAACTGTAAAACTAGTTCTCAAACAGTTTATGTGTGTGTGTGTGTGTGTGCAAATTGTTGAAATCTTTACTTATGAGTTGGCCTTCCGTGTACAAAGTTAATTGAAAATAGATCTTAATGGAAAATGGGACTGGCAAGAGGAAAGGGAGGAGGGAGTGGGATGGCAGTGTGGGTGGGAGGGCAGGTATGGTGGGAAGAACAACTATATTCTTAAAGTTGTACTTATGAAATTAGTATTCCTTAACAAATAAAATTTAAAAAAATAAATAAAAATTATTTTCATTTTATTTGAAAGGCAGAGCAGACAGACACAGAGAACTTCCATCTGCTGGTTCACTCCCCGAATGCCCACAACAGCCAGGCCTGGGCCATGCTGAAGCCAGGCACCATGAACTCAACCCTGATCTCCCACATGGGTGGTAGAGACCCAAATACCTGAGCCATTATCTGCTTCCTCCCAGGGTATACATTAGCAAGGAGCTGGACTGAAAGCAGAGTAGCCAGGACTCAAACCAGGCACTCTGATATGGGATGAGAGTGTTCCAAGTAGGAACTTTGTTTGTTTGTTTGTTTTGACAGGCAGAGTTAGAGGGAGAGACAGAGAGAAAGGTCTTCCTTTTCCCTTGGTTCCCCCCGCAAGGGACATTTCCGCAAATGCCTGCGCCGATCCAAAGCCAAGAGCCAGGTGCTTCCTCCTGGTTTCCCATGCAGGTGCAGGGCCCAAGCACTTGGGCCATCCTCCACTGCACTCCTGGGCCACAACAGAGAGCTGGCCTGGAAGAGGAGCAACCGGGACAGAATCTGGCACCCCGACTGGGACTAGAACCTGGGGTGCCGACGCCGTAGGCGGAGGATTAGCCTAGTGAGCTGCGGCGCTGGCCCCAAGTAGGAACTTTACCTCTGCACAAAACACCTGACCCTATTAGTATAAAAATACTATGCACAGATTTCAAATAACAATAATACATTATGACAAACTATAAATGAATTTCTAATAATAAAACATTATAAAAAGCTATGCTACAAAAAAAAAGCTATGCTACAGATTTCAAAAGCTTTCTGCCCAAAATAAACTCATACTTTTAATTTCATTTTCTCCCCATCTTTTGAAATATCTTCATATTTTCAGTATTCTGGATCCTAAACAATATTAAGCACATTTGGAGAAGAGAAAGGATAACTACAGCTACACTTCTTAGACACACGGTTTCAGCCTACAAGCAGTCCTGATTCTCTTATTTTCACATTTATTAAATTACAGGTTCAGTTACAATCCAAAGCGTTCTCTGAAGAAAGGCTTTCACTCGCCGTAAGGCTCTGTACGTCACAGCACACACACACTCTCAGCACATTTGTCTTGGGGAGGAAAGGCCCCAGCGTGTGTCCCCACACTGCAGTGGGTGCCAGCGGCATTTACCTGGATTCTTCTGCACAAAGGTGTAAACATGGATTCGAGTTCCAGTACTCCCTGCATCAAACATGATTCCATAAAAGGTGTTGGCACTGACATTGACGGGGCACATGGAAGACAAGAAGACACCTTCGAACCAGGTCTGCTGGTCTCTGTGGAAGACAGTGCCGCAGACACAGGATGCCACCAGCATGAGAAAGACTGCACCCCAGCAAGCGGTCATCCTCTCCCCACGGCGCGCTGGCTTGAGGCTCTGTTGCAGAAGCAGTGCTACTCACACACCTGCAGCAGCTTGTGGGACAAAGACACGCAGATTAGTACAACCTCTAAGAGAAATAATCATCACAGACGTCCACCCCGTCCCTACCCATTCCTTCTGTTTCTAATCACCAGTACAACAAGCTAAGCCAGCGCACAGTGCTTAGCACCTTTTCTGAAGGGTATCTAGTTCCAAAGGAAATGGAGATTTAAAATGTATTTTCCCATGCTTTGCTTTAAGATTTTATTTATTTATTTCAGAGGTAGAGTTACAGTCAGAGAAAGTTCTTTTATCTGCTGGTTCATTCCCCAAATGGTCGCAACAGCCAGAGCTGGGTTGATCCAAAGCCTGGGAGGCAGGAGCTTCCTCCGGGTACTCCATGTGGGTAAGGGGCCCAAGCACTTGAGCCATCTTCCGCTGCCTTCCCAGGCCACAAGCAGAGAGTAGGATTGGACAACGGCAGCTGGGACTTGAACCAGCATTCATATGGGATGCCAGCACTGCAGGCAGAGGCTTACCTACTACACCACAGCACTGACCCCTCCATGCTTTGCTTTTAATCGTAGGATGGTTCTAACATACTTTGTCATTCTGCTCCTTTGGCTGAATTGTAATTTTCTTCTATTTTGACAAGTTTGCCCCTTTTTAAAGATTTATTTATTTAAAAGTCAGTTAGAGCGAGAAACAGAAAGAGATCTTCCATCTGCTGGTTAACTCCCCAGATGGTTGAAGTGGCCAGAGACAGGCTAGACTAAAGCCAGGAGACAGGAGCTTCATCTAGGTCTCCCACATGGGTGCAGGGGCCAAAGCACCTGGGCCATCTTCCACTGCTTCCCCAGGCCATCAGCAAGGAGCTGGATCTGAAGCGCAGCAGCCGAGACCTGAACTGCGCCCATATGGGATGCCATTGTCACTGGCAGTGGCTTTACCACCTATGCCACAAAACTGCTCCCAACAAATTTGCCTTTAAATAATAAACTAACACCCTCTCTTCCTTTGGATCTGACATATAAGAAGCTTCAACTTTTGTTTTGGATTTGTATTGTACAGTAAGTTGGAAGTTGTTGCAAACCTAGAGTACACTTATGTGGAACACAGTTAAGAAAACAGTCTTTGGCCAGAGGCCCCTGGTTTCAGTCCTAGTGCATCTCTACATCGTAGCTGTACAGTCCTGGGGCACGTCATTCAGCTTTTCTGAAACTCCTTTTCCTCATCTGTAAGATGAAAGAGCATTTGCCCTACCTATCTTCCGTCCACAGTTATTAGGAAAATAAAATCAGATATTTCATTTATACATGCATACAAACACACAAAAGTTCTGGGGCAGGCATCGTGGCACAGCTGGTAAAGCCCCTCTGTGATGCCAGCATCCCTTATGGCTACCGGTTCCAGACCTGGCTGCTCTGCTTCTTTTCCAGCTCCCTGCTAATGGCCTGGGAAAGCAGCAGAAGATGGCCCAGGTCTTTGGGCCCCTGTCCCCCATGTGGGAGACCCAGGGGACACTCCAGGCTCCTGGCTTTGGGCCTGGCCCAGTGCTGGCCATTGTGGCCATCTGGGGAGTGAACCAATAGAAGACCACTCTCTCTTTCTCTGTAGTTCTGACTTAAAAAAAAAGTTTTTTTTTTTTTTCCAGTCACAATGCATTGTTCAAATATTATGTAACATCTTCTAGGCTTGTTCCAGGACTGAGATTGTGGAGAGTAGGAGAGAATGATTTGTTATCATGACCGGGAAATAATTTTTTAAATGTACATGAGACTTTTTTTTATTATTCTGTAGTGAAGTCATGAGTGTTTTTATTTATTTATTTATTTATTTTTTTTTTTGACAGGCAGAGTGGACAGTGAGAGAGAGAGACAGAGAAAAAGGTCTTCCTTTGCCGTTGGTTCACCCTCCAATGGCCGCTGCAGCCGGCACACCGCGCTGATCCGAAGCCAGGAGCCAGGTGCTTCTCCTGGTCTCCCATGGGGTGCAGGGCCCAAGCACTTGGGCCATCCTCCACTGCACTCCCTGACCACAGCAGAGAGCTGGCGTGGAAGAGGGGCAACCGGGACAGAATCCGGTGCCCCGACCGGGACTAGAACCTGGTGTGCCGGCGCCGCAAGGCGGAGGATTAGCCTAGTGAGCCGTGGCGCCGGCCATGAGTGTTCTTGAAACTTCTGATAAAGTATTTGGCATGGGGTGGGCACTGGGGAGCAGTGGGTTAAGCTGCCACTTGGGACACCCACATCCCACACCAGGGTGCCTGAGTCCCTATTAATCCATGCTCCCAATCCAGCCCCCCTGCTCCTATGCCTGGGAGGCACACTATGACAGCCCAAGTGCTTGGGTTCCTACCAACCAATGGGAGACCAGACAGAGTTCCTGCCTCCTGGCTTCAGCCAGGCCTAGCCCAGGCTGTTGCAGACATTTGGAGAGTGAACCAGTAGACAGAAGAGATCTCTCTCTCTCTTTAGCTCTCTTTTTTAAATAAATGAATATATATTTTAAGATGATTTATCTATTTGAAAGGCAGAGTTACAGAGAGGAAGAGGCAGAGAGAGGTAGGTCTTCGATCCACTGGTTCACTCCCCAAAAGGCCACAGCAGCTAGAACTGGGCTGGTCCAAAGCCAGGAGCCATGAGCTTCTTTAGGGTCTCTCATGTAGGTGCAGGGGCCCAACGACTTGGATCATATCCTACTGCTTTCCCAGGCCATAGCAGAGAGCTGGATCAGAAGTGGAACGCCAGCACTTGAACCGACACCCATATTGGATGCTGGCACTGCAGGCGGCAGTCTCCCCATTATGCACAGCGCCAGCCCCTAAATAAATCAATCTTTAAAGAATTATTTGGCAGTGTCAAGCAGAATAATTGAATCCATTCTACCTGGTAGCTTCAGTGTAACTTTTTGTCTTTTTTTCTTCCCCCTGGAGAGACATTGGTGATTTGTAACTGGCCTGCTTTTCTAAAGCTCAGGCTGTGTCCTATGATCTTACCTGTAAAGGAGAACTGGAGTTCTCAGGTTGTGTTTCTGAACCTCAGCACTGCCGACATTTGGGGCTGTCTAACCTGGGGTAGGTTATAGCAGCATCCTGGCCTCTACGCATTAGAGGCCAGTAAACCCTCCCCCAGTCCCCTAAACACACACACACACACACACACCCCTGTTGTGGCAACACCAAAAATGTCTCCAGATTACTGCCAACTGTCTCCTGGCTAGGCTGTATTTCCTCTGCTGGAGGCTGTATTTTTTCCTGGTATTAGTGAGTAATGTCTTATCTATCTTCTAGAGTTGAGGCTTCCTTAATTGTCCCTTATATATTTTGCTCAGAACAATTCTCTTATCTGGCTTTCATCTCCAGATTTCTTGTGCAAGTCATTGTTCCTGGTTAAGCGACAACATGTGGTGCCAAATTTCCCATTTCCCAGACCCCTTAGGTCCAACAGAATACTTGTTACATCTGGTGTACAGATCAATCTCATAGAGGGTTTTATCAAAGTGCCTCCCTCCCCACATGTGAGATACTACATAAAAGAAAGCGTACTGAAGTTTAATGCTCTTGGAATTTAAAACTATTCAGAATAACTGGAGTTGGCTGAGGTATGACAAAAGGCAGACCAGAATCATCTGTCGGAACCCTGTTCATAGCTGAAGTTCTATCCGGCAGTTCAGGAGGAGAAGGAAACCCAAACAAAGCCAACCTCATCCCAGGCAACCAACCACTGCCAGCAGGGCAGCTGCCTGGCCAGATCCACACTCACATGGTAACCCACCCTGTGCTGACGCTTCTTTTACAGCAGATAGGTTGGTCAGGGGGATCAGGTCTGAACAACTGAAAACACAAACACTCTTCAGATCAGCTGACTGTTAAGGGGTCCCTGCTTTTGTCCCACACTTTTGGCCCTTCTTCTCCCACAGGAAGTGCGTGAGAGGTGCTCCAGGCTGTCCTCCAGATCTGGGACGTCAGGGGTCACTTGCACTTTGTTATTATTGTGGCTTCTGAGAACCTCTCCAGAGTCTAGGTCCATTAAGCAAACATTCATTTTTCTTCCAAGAGATTTCAAAGGAAAAAAAATTGCATCCAAGGTATCTGTTTTCAGAGTGAAAACTGCAGAGTCACGCCAGGTGCTCCGTGTGAAATCACACAAAGAATAAACACGTGAAACGCCCCTTCTGCTCCCAGCACCTACCTCCGAACCCCATATCCAACTGCACTTTTAAGATGAGCTACTTTTTAAAAGGTCTTAGAAAGGGCTTACAATGGAGAGTTTAAGGACGGCATCCTATCTCACAGGACCTCAGTCTGCACAGCCTGTTCATTCACTTTGTTAAAATCTGTACTTAAGTTTCACCTTCTCAGTGGGACCTCCCTTGTCCTTCTGATTTACAACTGCAATGCGCATGGCTGCACAGACCTTTTCCACGGTCCAGCCGTCTCTGTAATTTACTACTCTTGCTTATTTCCACATTCTCTGCCTCTCCCCTCCCACCATCCCTGTGTTTCCTGGTGTTGGAACAGTGCTAGCACACAACAGATGTTAAATCAGTGCTCTGAAGGAATAAACAGTGATCCAGTCACTCATGCACTGGATCCCAGCCCCTTCACAAGAACATAATAGCGGACATCTTTCTAAAACATTAATTACCCACTAATGAGAAGATCACAATTCTAAACTTCAAAGGCAGGACTGTTTCTCCAGATGTGCCAGTTACAAGGATATCACATGTATCAAGTTTTACCTGCTATTCAAAATAGTGCAGATAACCAAGCTGACTTTGCATAGACAAGCATGCATCAGTATATTTAAATCCACTTTTCAGAACCTGTCTCATCAATATCTCCTGTCTCAGATTCACCTCTAGGAAAACTCCCTCTTCAACTCCTCTGAGTGTGGAGCCAGCCAGTGCTCGTCACTGTGCCCAGCTCACTCCAAGGTTGCGTCAGTGCCTCTACACCCGCAGGAAACCCTCACCCTCGCGGCTCAGCCCTTCCGGCACTTCACACACTGGCCGTCCTTTTTGCCAAGTCACCCACCGCCTGAGAGACCTCACAACCCCCGAGGACCCGGACCCCATTTGGGCACTCACCTGCGGGTGTCTGCCTGTTCCCTAGGACTCCTCACTTTCCCTGCTCACTGCCTTTTTGCCCTTTGTTCCTCGCTTCATGAGCCACTCTCACCTTTGTGCTAGTTTGCAATCACCTGTGTGGCATTTTGCTAACTCATTCCCTCCTCTATCCTTCACTCCTCCCTCATGCACTTTGATTCTCTGAGTACATGACTGCCCGGTTCATCTACTTTTATGACAGGTAAATGCCAACTAGAATTACTGTATGTAAGGCATAAGTTGCTCAGGGGCTAAATTCTCTGTTGTTTTTACATGCACCAAAATAGCAGGAAAGTTAACAAGTACTTCTGAATAGCTCCCACCCAGAGATGGAATTCAGAGAACTGGGCGTTGAACTGTCTAATTAATGAGCATTTACCACGCATCTAATATGTAACAGACACTGTGCTGGTTCTAGATTTACAAAGAAGAATCAGACAGAGGCTTAGCTCTTGGGAAGACTTCAACTTATTACAAAAAAAGGACAAGGCCAGCGCCGCGGCTCAATAGGCTAATCCTCCGCCTGCGGCACCAGCACCCCAGGTTCTAGGGTTCTAGTCCCGGCTAGGGAGCCGGATTCTGTCCCGGTTGCCACTCTTCCAGGCCAGCTCTCTGCTGTGGCCCGGGAGCACAGTGGAGGATGGCCCAAGTGCTTGGGCCCTGCACCCCATGGGAGACCAGAGAAGCACCTGGCTCCTGCCTTAGGATCAGCGCGGTGTGCCGGCTGCAGCGCACCAGCCGCGGTGGCCATTGGAGGGTGAACCAACAGCAAAAAGAAGACCTTTCTCTCTGTCTCTCTCTCTCACTGTCCACTCTGCCTGTCAAAAAAAAAAAAAAAAAAAAAAAAAAGGGACAAGTAAACTAACAGCTAAAATGTACTATGAAAAGTCTGACAAAAATGTCCACAGAGTGCTAGGGCAGTAAAGTTACAGGAGAGGAGCTCTCTTTGGAAGGGGAAGAGTGGAGGTGGGAGTGCAGTGGGAGGCTTCTTCAAGGATGAGAGGCCCAAGGTGGATCCTGGATCAGAGGTAGGAATTACCTGGGGAAAGTGATACCAGCCATTTCTGAGAACTTCAAGCGTAACACTTCAGTATGGCTAGGGGAACCCAAATAAAGAAAAGCAGATATGTCCCAGAATAAAGAGGGCAGGCGTGAGGAAGGATGGTCCTGCACGCACTGAACCAGTTTACAAAAGGAGAGGACTTCTGTTTTCTTTGTAAGATGCCATGGTAACACTTGATTATTAATTATGCTTTCTGTTCCCTCCCTGAGCAAATATCAATATTGATTGACTTGGATCAAAGGACAGAGTATTTCTCAACAGTGAAAAATGATGGAATGGGCTAGGCAACCAGACAGGTCCACCAAAAGGTCAGAAAACAGTGAGATGTAAAAAGCTCCCACTGCCAATTCATCTCCATGGCAAAGCTAACTCTCATAAAGTTAAAAATTAAACATAAGGCAAGTTTAAAATGTAGCTAGGATGAAATTTTTACACTGCAAATTGAATTATGGGAATGAACAGAGCCAAGCCACCAGTGAATAAGTTAGTCGTGCCAAGCAAAACCTAAGAGGGTCCAATAGGGTGAATTTGGGTCAGATTTTAGCTTCATTTGGGGATATAATATGGAACCTACAGACCCATACAAAGGGCCAGAGCCCTGGAATAGTTTGCTTTCTGAAGATTGTCTAAGATAGGATGCATATCTCTTGAATTCCAAAACCAAGTAATAAGCCTAGAACATATCAGTAGACATCAGTGCACGCATCCCGAAAGGCTAACGGAACCGGTGCCATGGCATAGCGGGTAAAACCACCGCCTGCAGTGCTGGCATCCCATGTGGGTGCTGGTTTGAGTTCCGGCTGCTCCACTTCTGATCCAGCTCTCTGCTATGGCCTGGGAAGGCAGTGGAGGATGACCCAAGTCCTTGGGCTCCTGCACCCGCATGGGAGTCCTGGCTCCTGGCTTTGGATTGGTGCAGCTCCAGCTGTTGCAGCCATCTGGGGAGTGAACCAGCGAATGGAGAACCTACCCCCCCACCTCTGCTCTCTGTAACTCTGCCTTTCAAATACATAAATAAACCTTTAAAAAAAAAAAAAAGTAGGCTAACAGAGCACACTGACCTGAGCTCTGACGCGAGGGCACTGCCTTTCCTGTGTCTTGCTATGGCCTGTGTGTCACATCCCCAACTCTCTCTCCTCCCACTGATGAGGTGCTATTCCAGGAATCTTACTTTTAACATATTATTTTATTCATTTAGTCATTCAGAAATTAGAAGAGCTGCCTGTTACAAGTACATCATGCAAAGATGAATCATCTTAGATCTATCCTTAGATCTGTCCTTTAAAAAAACTCTATTAAGTAGGAAAAAAATTACACATCCATAAATTTGCTCCAAAGAGGGAAAACGTGACAAGTAACACAGTTACTGTGCTCTGAGATCTCAAAGCTGGGAAAGACTTCCAACTGGGAAGATCAAGGCGGCTTTGTGAAAGAGGGAGCATCTGAGGAGGGTCCTGAGGAGACACGCGGGTTAGGAGAGGAGTGCTTTCAGGAATAAGAAACTGTCTGAATCAGATATGGATGCTGAAAAGTGACTGCGGTCCCTGGGGAATGGTGCTCTGCCCAGTTTAGCTAACGACAGAAGGAAAAATGGGGTGAAAAGGCAGCGGAAGGTCCGCCAGCAGAGTCCACCACCTATGTAGTTAAGGAGTTGAGATTTGCCTCTGTGGGCAACGGGCGGCCACTGGAAAGGCAGGCTTTGGTGCCAGAGGGCCTAGGTTTGAGTCCTAGCTCTGCTTCCGATTACAGCTTCCTGCTAATGTGCACCCAAGAAGGCAGCAGATGGTGGCTCATGCATTTGTGTCCCTGCTACCCCTGTGTGAGATCCAGATTACATTCCGGCAGGGCTCCTGGCTTTGGCTTGGTCCAGTGCCAGCTCTTGCAGCCATTCGGGAGGTGAACCAGTGGATCAAAGATCTCTGTGTGGGGCCGGCACCGTGGCTTACTTGGTTAATCCTCCACCTGTGGCGCTGGCACCCATATGGGTGCTGGGTTCTAGTCCCGGTTGCTCCTCTTCCAGTCCAGCTCTCTGCTGTGGCCTGGGAAGGCAGTGGAGGATGGCCCAAGTGCTTGGGCCCCTGCACCCACATGGGAGACCAGGAAGAACCATTTGGCTCTGCCTTCGGATTGGCGCAGCGCCAGCCATAGCGGCCATTTGGGGAGTGAACCAACGGAAGGAAGACCTTTCTCTCTGTCGCTCTCTCTCCCACTGTCTATAACTCTACCTGTCAAATAAAAAAATAAAATAAAATAAAATAATAAAAGATCTCTGTGTACCTGCCTTTCAAATAAAAAACTTAAAAATAAATTTTTTTAAAAATTGAAAAAGGAAGCCACTGAAGATTTTGAGCATGACAGTATTACAAATTTGAACCTGGAAGCTTCAAATAAGGAGGACTGGAGGGGCCAGTGCTGTGGCATAGTGGGTAAAGCCACCGCCTGCAGTGCCAGCATCCCATAGGGGCGCCAGTTCAAGTCCCGGCTGTTCCACTTCTAATAGAGCTCTCTGCTATGGCCTAGGAAAGCAGTGGAAGATGGCCCAAGTCCTTGGGCCCCTGCACCCATGTGGGAAGACCCAGAAGAAGCTTCTGGCTCCCAGCTTCGGATTGGCCCAGCTGTTGTGGCTAACTGGGGAGTGAACCAGCGAATGGAAGACCTCTCTCTCTCTCTGCCCCTCCTCTCTTTGTTTAACTCTGGCTTTCAAATAAATAAATCTTTATTAAAAAAAAAAAAAAGGAGGAGGAGGACTAGAGTTGGGAGCATTGTCAGGACCACTCAACTGTTTAATTCTACAAATGATTGATGATGCCTTTTAAGTGCTAGGTGCCAGAAAATGAAAGGTAAGTGACAGAACTTTTTCTTCAAGACACGCAGAGTCTGTCAGTGGTGACAGACATATAAGCTGCCGCCTGCAATGCCAGCATCCCTATGAATGCCAGCTGGAGTTCTGGCTGCTCCACTTCCAATCCAGCACAGGGGAAGATGGCCTAAGTGCCTGGGCCCCTGCCACTCGCATGGGAGATCTGGATGGAATTCCAGGCTTCCAGCTTCAGGCTGGCCCAGCCTCAACAATCAACAGTCGTTTAGGGCATGAACTAACGGAATGAAGATCTCTCTAAATCTGCTTTAAAAATAAATAAATCTTTTAAAAATCATTTAAAAGATCCCATAGCTTATAAAGTTAATCATAAAAATGCTAAAATAACTCAAAACTCAGGACTGACGGAGGATTTGGAAAGGCACCATGAAATGATATTAGAACTGATCATGAAAAATGAATAGAAGCATTACACTATATAAATAATAGACATGTGGGCTGGCGCCGCGGCTCACTAAGCTAATCCTCCACCTTGCGGCGCCGGCACACCCAGTTCTAGTCCCGGTCAGGGCACCGGATTCTGTCCCGGCTGCCACTCTTCCAGGCCAGCTCTCTGCTGTGGCCCGGGAGTGCAGTGGAGGATGGCCCAAGTGCTTGGGCCCTGCACCCCATGGGAGACCAGGAGAAGTACCTGGCTCCTGCCATCGGATCAGCGCGGTGCGCCGGCCGCAGCATGCCGGCCGTGGCGGCCATTGGAGGGTGAACCAACGGCAAAGGAAGACCTTTCTCTCTGTCTCTCTCTCTCACTGTCCACTCTGCCTGTCAAAAAACAAACAAACAAACAAAAAATAACAAAAAATAATACACATGTAGACAAAGATTAAAGAAATTATAAAACCACGAAATGGCAGGGAAATTATGGATAGCTTCGTTTCATCTGAAGGGCCCAGCATTGTGGCAAAGTGAGAGAAGCCACTGTCTAAGATGCCAGCATCCCATATGGCACTGGTTCGAGTCCTGGCTGCTCCACTTCCAATCCAGCTCCCTGCTAATGACCCTGGGAAGAGCAACGAAAGATGGCTCAAGGCCTTGGGCCCCTGCCACCCATGTGGGAGATCCAGATGAAGCTCCTGGCATAGTGGGTGAGGCCACCTGCAGTGCCAGCATCCCATATGGGCACCAGTTCAAGTCCTGGCTGCTCCACTTCTGATCCAGCTCTCTGCTGTAACCTGAGAAAGCAGTAGAAGATGGCTCAAGTCCTTGGAACCCTGAAACTGCATGAGAGAACCGGATGAAGACCTGCAGGAAGTTCCTTGCTTCAGATAGGCCCTGCTATGGCCGCTGTGACCATTTGGGGAGTGAACCAGCCGTTGAAGACTCTCCCCCTAACTCTGCCTTTCAAATCAGTAAATAAATAAATAAAAATTTCATTTTAAGAATTTTTGTCATATGGATTTGAAAAACAAAACAAAAACAAAAAGACTATAATGGAAGGGGTAGAGAGGATGA